GAGGCGGCTGCCGTGAGGCTGCCCCTCCCCTTCCATGCCTCCAAGACAGTACTTTGCACCATCTGCAGAGGCCTGTAGTCAAGCAGGAAATGTGCTATGGCCTTTCCATATGCTGAAGACACTTGTGAAAGGACATATGAGGGGGTATTATAAAGTAATAATTATCACCCTGAAGTCATAATGTTATATTGATGAAATTTTGTCAGTGTCATCAATGGTCCCTAAGTGCATGATGTTGAGAAAATCAGCTCTTTGTTTCCTTTATTTTTGTTATAGGTTGTGCCAGAAGTGACTAAAGTGTAAGATGGAAAAAATTGAGTCTCACACCATGATAAAGTTCCTACATTTGAAGGGTAATAGTGCCTGCAAATTCATGATGAGATGATAGAACTTTATGGAAATGATTGCCCATCTTATGACACTATTGTGAGGTGGAAAAGGAATTTCCAAACTGGTCACATGTCCCTCACAGACAAGCCAAAACCTGGAAGACCATCATTTATGGACAATGCAGCCACAGTGAGGAAAGTGGAATGTTTAATCCTGGAAGACAGATGAGCAACCATCCAAATGATCATGAATGAAACTGGTCTCAGTTATGGCAGTGTGTGGGAAATTATTCATGACAAACTGCACATGTCTAAGGTGTCTGCACACTCCGTTCCACATTTGCTAATCTCTTTCCAGAAACAAACAAGGTGTGACCTTTCAAGACAGATGTTGACAGGATGAAGAGGAACAGGATGAAGAGGATTTTTTTGATCTAGTAACATGGATGAATCTTGGATCTATCAATATGATCCAGAGACCAAAACCATGAGCATGGGGTGGAAGCATGTTTATTCCCCTCCCCTCAAAAAGGCAAAGTGCAAAAATCAGCAGGAATGTCATGCTCTCAGTTTTTTGGAACAGTCATGGAGTCATTCTCACAGATTACCTTGCAAAAGGACAAACTATCACTGGCACATGCTATAGCAATCGTCTGGACAAGTTTTGAGATGCTTTTAAAAAGAAACACCATGGTATGCCCTCCAGAGGCATTCATCTCCTAACTGACAATGCATCAGCTCACTCATCCCAAGTTACAGTTAACAAAACAAGGGCATGTGGCTTTGAAATCTTGCAGCATTCGCCTTATTCTCCCAACCTCACAACAAGTGACTTTTTCTTGTTCCCAGAAATGAAAAATCCTTTGCAGGATTGCCGATTTGACAACACAAATGATGTCATTCATGAAGTGGAAGAGTGGTTTAAGGCACAATCTGCAGACATCTACAATAATGTTATTCGGATGGTCAAGAAACACTGGGAAAAATGAGTAAATCTGGATGGTGACTATGTAGAGATAAGTTAACAACTACAAATCCAAACAAACTTTTGTCAATTTTTTTAAAGGTGATAATTATTTATTATTGTTGTGTGTTTTCAAGTCATTTCCAGCTTATGAGGAACCTAAGGCAAGCTTTTCATAGGGTATTCTTTGGTAAGATTTATTCAGAAAGTGTTTGTCATTCCCTTCCTCTAAGGCTGAGAGACTGTGCCACTTGCCCAGGGTCACCAAGTGGATTTCAATAACCAAGCAGGGTTTTGAACTCTAGTCTCCCAGAGTTCTAGTCCAACACTTAAACCACACTGGTTCTCAGAACATCTTTAAGGAGAAGAAAAGTTTACCATTTCAGTCCCAGAGTTACTGATTTATGTTTATTTGTTTACATTTCTGTTTACACTTATTTTACACATCCTTTTGGCAGATTTTTCTATACTTATTTTTCTATTCTTAGATCATGCAATGGTGGGAAGGTTTAAACAATGTGCTATACAGTATGTGTCTTATACACTTTTATCCTTCTGGGAATTTTTTAAAAGTCAACAGTACAAAAACTTTAATCTATTATTCCTTTAATGCTTCCTTTTCTTAACATTGTTTTAGCCATTTAATTGAAAACACAGAAGAGACAGACATCTTTCATTAATTTATATAATCACAACGAGACAATTTAGCAAAATTATTAGGAGTATCGACCTGTTCATGGTCTAGTACTTATCCACTATTAGTTTGTTTAAAATGTTATGCTGTTGTTAGTACTGAAGGGCCTTACAAATTATATTGATTCAACTAAAGAACACAGAGAACTAAGTTATTCATTACTAACATAATTCTCAAAGAGAAATAAATTGTCAAGGGCCATGAAACAATAATTCATCACTGAATGTTCCCAATACATTTGTCATTTTATTTAAAATGTATATGCTATGAGCTTGTCACAAATCAACATCCTTACTACTAACAAATAAAATATTTTTAAACCTCCGAACAACCTACAAGTTTAAAACATCACAGATCCTCTCCAGAGTATATTCTTGTTGACCAGTCAGTTAAAATGGAGGGAGGGAGGGAGGGAGGGAGGGAGGATGTCCTCAAAAACAGAAATACTGAACTTGACCAAAACCCTGCCAGGGTTTCTCCCTGGGCTGTGTATGCAACAGAAGAGACTCACTACAGAGAAAGCTGTAATTCCTTGTTGTCAACCACTTTAGCTCAAAGATCACCAGAGAACAGAAGCAGCCCAAAGCTCTCCAAGCTGAGGCTGGTTATAGTTCCATATGGGAGCACTTCATTAGAGACATTTATGTTCCTTTAGGACAGACTGTTTAGTGTTTTGATCTGCGCTCAGAAATTAACTGGATGTTCAAGCAGCTTTCCAAACACAGGTGCAATATGTCCCAATTTTCCCCAATTATTATTTGGAAATCTTCATGCCAGAATGTCATTTTTTTTTCCAATGTTCCTTCAGCAAATCCATTTAAAGAAGGAAGGAAATCCAGACTTAGCCCCTCCTTGCACCCACTGCTTCATCTGAGAGCAGTAGTTTAAGCCACTTTACCTGAGTGAGGGCCTTTGCAGACTGCCAGAAATAGTGCACATTAAATTG